TTTATTCAGGCTCGACTGTACTACAGCTTCGACCTTGCCTGAGGCCCCATCAGCGCTCCAAGAGAGACTAGAACTGTGATAGAGCAGTATATAAGCTAGGCATCGTAACTCCTACTCTACACTACTAGAAGTGCCCTTGGGTCACAGAGCAGGTGCGAATCTTAAGGAAAACCAAGTCTTTTCTCATATCACATTCTCTGGTGGGATTGTCGATGAAGCAAAGTTGTATTTGCTATGACAATCGAAACACTCCAAGGGTGTAATAATACCAGCTTATTAGGAAGCAAAATGATGCAAAATCCAAATGGGTATTTATTTTATTGTGGAAAAATTCAGCTACATTATCCTGAGCAACTCTAATTGATTTGGGTTCTTACTTCAAATGTTTTAATCATTGTAAATTTGTCTATTTACCACCAAGCGCCCATTTTACAGCGACATATAGGAGTTTTACTTATTAAAATTGTATGTTATACATAAAATAAGCCTATTCTTTAAGGCTATAATTGCAATTACGCCACAGTGGTGCCAAATCGTGACTAAATGATTAGGTTTCAATAGAATATCCCTTTAGCAGTAATCAGACCTGAATGTAAGACTTCTGTAATGGATGAGAGGTCACCATCCAACGCAGACACATCATTCTAAAGAGATAAGCTTCGACCCATGAGACCTCATTGCCTCTTCACTTGACAGCAGGTACCATCACCTCTGTCGCATTGCCCTCGTAGTTTGTAGTAATATCCGCCAAGAGAGAACTGACGCTCAGCCCTCCGAAATCCGGCCATACATAAAAACGTCAACCAGGAGGCCTCTGGCCTCGCATCACATACCAGTCGTGGCAACTGAAGACGGGCATAATCGAATGTTAGTTTGGTCTCTTTAGTCCCTTTTCCCATTTTCCGAGTCCCCAAGGGATTTCGACGAACACCAACTATGCTCTACAACTCCTGACTTCTTTCGTTTTCTTCATACAACCAGTGCAATTTCGCTGAGATTAGATGCCGATCACGTTGCTCATCCATTCCAGTTTCTCTGCTTGGTTGGGTTTGTATGAAAGGAAGGTACACTGTTGTTCAATAAAGCCCGACACAGCATACTTTGCCGAGACAAGGAACGGCAAAAATAAAGAATAAGGCACAAGAAATGGACTTACTCAGCACAATTACAACATGAAATCTTCCACTCACATTGATCGACTCGCCAAGCCA